TCCAGGGACGTCATGGATGGGGTTGTGGCTGTTTTCTACACAGTGCTGACACCTCTTCTTAACCCTGTTGTGTACACCCTGAGGAACAAGGAGGTGAAGAAAGCTTTGTTGAAGTTGAAGGACAAAGTGGCCTATTCTCAGAGCCAGTAAATGCTACAAAGTTGATATGTTCATTTTTTAAAAATCACTACTCTACTTTAGTTGTAAAAGATCATGTTTTTCTGTGGCTATAGCTGTTCAAATATTTTTAAGTCTTCCCTGCTTTGTGTATGTCTCTTTTTATAAGACTCCAAATATACACTCAAAATAAAGGCTTACAATATGTTAAATTATAATTTTACAATAATTAAATATTATTTAAATATTAAATAATTTTACAATATGTTAAATTATAATTCCTTATTGCTATGTATGTATGTGTATATTTATATCTTTATCAAAAATATGATTTATGGAAATAATATATTTAGTAAGCAAAAATAGGAAGCTAAGGGGTTGGGGTTGTAGCTCAGTGGTAGAGTGCTTGACTAGTGCGGGTGAGGCACTGGGTTCAATCCTCGGCAACACATAAGAATTAATAAATAAAAATCAAGTCATTGTGTCCACCCAGAACTAAATTTTTAAAAATAGGAAACTAAGTGCTCATCCAAAATTGAATTAAAACTAAGATGTTGAATATGCACATATGGATTTATGTTCAGCAACAATAATGTATGATCTGTAACTTTAAAATGATGTAAGAAATTATCATTTCTGGCAGTTTGCTAAGACTAAAGATAGTTAGATATCTATTCTACATCTAGAGCCATGGCTTCCAAGACAGGCAATATTGCCTCACCAGGATCATTTGGCAAGTCATGGAGGTATTTATGAATGTCGTAGGTATTGGCACCTGGTATTTAGAAGTCAGGGAATTAGTTTATTTCGCAGTGCACAAGGTTACTCCAGAAAAACACTTTTCTTTCCTGAAAGATAAACAATACTGAGGTTAAGAAACCTTTATCAGGATATAAATGTAAGTAAGACTCTGACAATAGAATTAACAAAACACTTTTGAGAAAAATACAAAACTGCTGAAGAAGTGGAGAAGTATAATGTGCTAATAGATTTGGGACTCAGTATTTTAACATTTCAGCTCTCCTCAAACTGTTCTATCCACTAGAATTCCACATAAAATTCCAGCATTTTATTCTACTGATACAGATGTGTGTATCCTAAAGTATGTGTAGACAAGGTATGGTCATGATAATCTTGAAGAAACAACACAAAATGGAGTGATTCATAAACTAGATATAAAAATTCACTATGGCTCTATAGTTATTCAGAGACAATTGCATTTTCATGATTCTAGACCAGGAAAAATGTGACAGAAGAGAGAATAAAGATATAGACAGATAAATAGTCATATGAGGAAGCTATCTTGTGCACAGTAGAGAAAGGCAGACTTATTCAATAAGTTATTTTGAGATATTTGGGTTTTGAGATGTTATGCAAAGAAAAAATGAATCTTGGCCCAATATTGCATTACAAGTTTTAGAGGTTTTTTTTGTTGTTGTTGATCACCATATAAAAACTAGTACATACAGAGAAAATATGAAAAAAGAAAACAATTGGGAATATCATTTGAGAATTTAAATTAAATTTCTAAAAACATGACAATAATTAAGCAACTACAGCTATTATCTCAAGTTATATATACAATTAAAATCTTATATCATACCAGAAGTAAAACTAACTCCAAGATTTAAATGAGGGGGGAAATTATGTAAACCATTAAAATATTACATAGCTGAAAATTAATAGACCTTTTATGTAGGAAAATACCTTTTTAAAGTGAAATATCAAGATCATAAACCAGGAGCAGTGTGAAGAAGAAGAGGCGAGAACGACCCCGGGGCCGACCAAAGCCGGGCGCCGCTGCATCCCTGCGTCCAGCGCCTGCGTCCCGCCGCCACCATGCCCAAGAGAAAGGCTGAAGGGGATGCTAAAGGAGATAAAGCCAAGGTGAAAGACGAACCACAGAGAAGATCTGCAAGGTTGTCTGCCAAACCTGCTCCTCCAAAGCCAGAGCCCAAGCCTAAAAAGGCCCCTGCAAAGAAGGGAGAGAAGGTACCCAAAGGGAAAAAGGGAAAAGCTGACACTGGCAAGGATGGGAATAACCCTGCAGAAAATGGAGATGCCAAAACAGACCAGGCACAGAAAGCTGAAGGTGCTGGAGATGCCAAGTGAAGTGTGTGCGTTTTTGATAACTGTGTACTTCTGGTGACTGTACAGTTTGAAATACTATTTTTTATCAAGTTTTATAAAAATGCAGAATTTTGTTTTACTTTTTTTTTTTTTTAAAGCTATGTTGTTAGCACACAGAACACTTCATTGTTGTTTTGGGGGGGAAGGAGCATATGTCACTAGTAGAATGTCTCCAAAGCTGGATTGCTGTGGGGGAAGACACCTTTCCCTTCTAGTTTTGAGAGACTTCCTCTTTGTTCCTAAGAGGAAGGGATTCCCTGATGTTGGCACACATAGCCACCTTGGCACACATGCCTTGTGGTATGGAAAAACTCAAACTCATCTGTATGTCCTCCTGTCCCTCTCTGCCATTGGCATAGACTTAACTCCCCTAAACCTGTTGGGACCTGATTCCCAACAGTTGGTTTTACCAGTGTGTGGGGCAATCTGGATTTTCCAGTGATGTCATTGAGAATAGTGTCCCTCAGAAGAGCAGCAGTTCCTTTTCTAGATTGTGGATCTTCAGATTAATAATTTTTGCCATTTTCCTTTCATTTCCTGAAAGTCAGGGTTGGCTTGTGAAAAGTTGTTAAACAACATGCTAAATGTGAAATGTCAACCCTCACTCTAAACTTTCCCTATTCAGAGCATCAAATGAAGACTTCATTGGGTTTTATAGTGGCTCTCTGATTTTGGTAGTCCATTCAAGAAGGGAGTTTGAAAGTTGTTGTATACTGTTAACGATTGTCTGCCCATGTCCTGCCTGAAATACCATGATAAGTATCTTTAATAAAGCTGGATACAGTTTGGCTTGGAAAAAAAAAAGAAGATCAGAAACCATACTAGAAACAATTGAAAAAATTTCCTGCATTAAAAATGTATATGCATGTATATAAACAAACAAAAAGTACTTCAGCAAAGAAATATTAAAGCCATATTTTACATTGCAATAAAACATGAATTAATATCCTAAACTTATAAGAGATCAGACAAATAAATAAAACTATTATCTCAAAAGAAAGATAGTAAATAAAATTCCTGAAGTATTAATTCATAAACGAGGATATAGTTTTGTAATATAAGTGTTCATTATTGCTTGTAAAAGCAATGAATGACACCAATAAAATCTATTACCTACACAATTGGAAATCATTCTGTATTTTAGGTATTTCTTTGGGAAAAGAGAGTGTGAGACTCTAAACAACAACAACAAATTTGGGAATTTGCACCTTGTAGCTCTGTGTAGAAAGATGGTGGGAAAGAGTAACATCCACCAGGAGAGTGCCACAAGTGATGCTCATAGGGATTCTGAACAATTTTAATTGAGAGGAAGACATTGTGAGTATCTCTTCATCACTGGTGAGGGACAGGTAAGTCCCACTTCCCTCCTCTGAGGTTTAAAATTAGTTCCAGGCAGACTTGAACTATCCCAGGAGAGTGCAAATAAGAAACAGGTAGGGAGATGTGCAGCCTATGAAAAAACTTTCATTGGGCTTTTCCTGTTGTTTTTTTGCTCATCAAGGGAACCTGGAAACCCACAAGTAATCCTGTCCCCTGAGACTCCAGGTCAAGTTCATTCTTTGCCATTTAGCCTGGTTGGTTTGCATTCTCTGCACTTCAGTGGTTTGGTTTGGTTAAAAACGGACCCATCTTTCTCAACATAGTGCATGTGTTCTTGGAATGACAGTTTGCAAAGTAGAGGCTGTGCATGTGGAGAGGGGAGCGTAGAGAGGGGAAAACTGTAGGAGAAACTAAGGCAAGTTTGACAACTGCAATGAACCATGTCCTATGGGGTGAGTTATTACAAATGGAGCTTTCACTTATTTCCCCTGATTTCCATCCCTTGTTTACCTCCATATTTCATGCACTGAGATGTTACTTGGACATTGCTAGACTTCACCCTCATTTTAGTGATCTAGTCTTTCTTGATAAAAGATAGAAAGATAGATGAATAGATTGACACAGCAATTGGGGAGCTCCAAGTAGCTATTGCATTGTTACAGAAGACAAGAAAGTCAAGCTTTAGACCCTCCTCCCCCATAGCCCAGGCTGAGATTGCTTCCTTGTGTTTTGCCCCTCAGCCTACCTTGGACTTCATCTGATGAACATTTGCATGTTTCATCAAATCTGAAAATGAAGTTATCCTGGTGTTTAAGTCATGTTGGTTCAGTAGAAATTTCCTCATCGTTGAGTTTGGTTTTGGTGATTACAATAATTCTGTCTCTGCTACTTATTTTTGAATTTGAAAAAAAAACAGCTTGCACATTGTTTAAGCTATGTTTCCTGGTGAGTGAAAACATTTTTGCTAAGAGCACATTATATATTCTCTCCAATGGTGAACTGTTTTTATGGTTCTCTACTACAGAATAATTAGTAATTATCTTTATTTTAATGATATTAGTATTATACTATTATAAATACAATTTTTTATGAATTAGTAATAAGAAATAATATTGTAATAATTGATAGGAGGCCATAATTTGTATTAAGTGTAAAACAACCTCTGCCTAAATTTCAGTTGTACAGAATCCCAACTTTTCTTGACATCAAACTGATGTGTTAGGTGTCCTTTGCTTGTATCGATTCTTTTTTTCCTGTCTCATATGGTAAATGTTGAAGAGGAAATAGACTGAGTAGAATTGTCTTCTCCTATGACAGCCTTGTCTGTTTCTGTGAATATAGGGAATAAAAGAAATGGATATGGAGCAAAAATTTTTTCTCTAACAAAATTGATATAAGAAAATATTTAGATATTAAGGATAAAAGGTTATATGACAGAAATTTCTTCTACACCCATTTATTGTGGCTGGGAGGGCACATATGAGGTTTATGTTATTAGATCCTCATAAGGGATGCTTAAGTGGAGGAGAGGCAAGGGGTCAGTCAACTACAGGGCTTTGTATTTTCTGAATCTTATGGAACATTGTGGCAGATCCCACTACAGTGATTGACTGACTTTTTTGTTTCCTCTGAGAGACAAAAGAGAATCCCTGGTATAAGCAGGTAGTATTAAGGCTCCAGTAACAGTACCAAGTATAAAAACTTCCTCAAGAGCTATCTTTAAAACTGAGAAGACTCTGGAAACACACAGATAATTAACTTATTCTAAGCTCAGAAACAATTCTGCAATATTTTCAGAGGGCCCATGCTCCATGACCCATATTCACTTATTAAGCAATTATGACATGCCAAGCACTATACTGAGTACTTTTTAATGTATCATATTATTTGATAACTTCTTAGTAAGTAATGTCAGATAACATGTGAAGATACTTGTTTTAAATTTATTGTAGACATATGAAACATTCAATGTTATCCATAATTAAATTCTTGGTTCTCTAATTTTACTCATGAATTCTGGAGAAAAAAATAGAATGTAGTAGGTAGAATTCCAAATATTCTCCAAGATATATGCCAGTTAGTACATATTGTTTTTTTTTTATAGTAGCCTTTCTTTGAGTGTGTGTGACACTTATGAATGTGATGGTATGCTCCATTGATTATATTCTATCACATAACACTTTGTCATATTAAAGCAGAGATAGGGTCTCCTGCTGGCTTTAAAGAAGTCCCTGCCATGCTGTGAGTAGGGCAAGTGGCAGGGCCATCCTAGAACAAAGTGGCCTCTAAATGTCTAACATGATATATTCTGTCAACAACCATCAAGGGAAGTGTGACATCATTCATAAAGTGTAAGGAAGTAAAGTCTGCCAACAACCTCAATAAGCTTGTAATAGAATCCCATGCCTCATATAAGATTACATCTCCAGTTCAAACCTTGATTCAGGCTTGTTGAGAACTTGAGCCCTCGTTGATGTCACCCACATAAAGAGTGGGAAATAAATTTGTATATTTCAACTCACTAAATTTGTGGTAACTTATAACATATTAATTGCTATAGTTGGGATAAGTATCCCACAAAGGAGACTGTATTAAAGGCTTGATCCCATCCTGGGGCACTATTGGGAAGTGGTGGGAGCTTAGAGGGGTAGGGCCTAATAGGAGGCCACTGTCCTTTCTATTTTGTGTCCTGGCCATGAGGTGAATGATCTTGCCAAGGGATGGTTCTATGATGGGCTGTCTTGCCACAGGGTCAAAAACAATTGGACCAATGAATCATAGACTGAAACCTCCAAATGTGAGAAAAATAACCCTTTTCTCTTTTTAAGATTTAGAGTAATAGAGCTCAGACTAGCATACCAATACAAAGGCAATATAATGACTTTCTCTTTCTTTTTTATGCATATGTGTGTGTGTGCACACACACACACACACACACACACACTTCTATGTGACAGAGAGATGGTAGACCATCCCAACACATTACCAAAGATTTACAACAAGCAAAATTGAGTACAACTCTGGAATTTCTCATAATGGATGAAGCAAGTGCCACATGGAGAATGGATTCTCAGTTCTCAATGAAATGCTAAAGGCTGGATTCTCTTCATATGTCCACAGGGAGAGTGACTATAAGTAAGAAATGTCAAACAGGAGCCTTGTGACAACGTTCTTCCTCACAGGCCTTCCCCATGCTCCAGCGCTGGACACCATGCTCTTTGGCCTCTTCCTGGTCATTTACATTCTCACTGTGCTGGGGAACCTCCTCATCCTGCTGGTGATCAGGGTGGATTCCCACCTCCACAC